TGGGGAAGAAAGGTTCTCGAGTGGCAGCCTCGTACCGGTAGGCGTAGTGTAGGGCGACCCCCCACTAGATGGAATGACGACCTGGTAAGACATGCAGGAAGTCGATGGATGCAGGTGGCTCAGGACCGTGCTTTGTGGCATTACTTGGGGGAGGCCTATGTTCAGCAGTGGACTTGTGAAGGGCTGTAATGATGAATGATGATGATGACATGCCCTTCACGCCACTTCCCGCGATTTCCACAGACTTCGTCTACAGTAATCCTCGAGAATTCCCCGGAAGACGCGCGTCTTCTTTTTTGGCTCATTTCTAGTTTGCGCGTTACACAATTAACATAACCGCGGCTCCACATTATCACCGTGTATCGCTCCTCATTATCTCCGTAAACAGGCGTGAACGTAAATGTGGATGGTTTTCGCGGGATTCACGCGCGATCACACCTGTTCCCCGATCGGAGTCGGTATTTTATCCGTATTATCGTTCACACACCCTTCGCGCGACGTTCACGCGTACACATCCACATTCACGGCACCGTTACAGTTCGGTCCGGACTACAAAGGCGTACGGACGACGTATTTTAGTCATACACCATCTTCTTTTTTTTTCTCAACGCTTTCTAATAAATTTCTCATTTTGGACGTCTAAATTTTTAATTTTGGACGGCGGGTTTCACAAACGATTGTGAGCATCCCGTGAATGTGGACGCACAAGTCGTGTGCGGGAATTCATGGCGTGACTTCGGGCGTGAATTCACAGCGATAATGTGGAGCCGCCATAAGTCTCATTTACTATGTACAATTTCGTTACAAAAATTCGCTTCCATTCCGTTCCGCCATCAGTGTAAATTGAGCCTATGGATGCGTTGTCACTTTGACGACTAATGGAATGCCTCACAGCCTGCAAGTATACTGACTCTCTATAACCTTTCAGAGCCCGACACAGTGCAATCACTAAAACTTGGCTTCAGAAATACATGAGAGTGGTGGTACCTAACCAATCGAAAGGAAAGTACCATAGGTAGAAAAGTCCTACTATGCATTGACAAGTATGAGTATTGTTGTACACAATTAATGCCTGGTACATGGCGACACTAGTTACCACTACGCGCCTTCTAGTACTGAGTAACAGAACTAGGAGAGTCAAGATCCTTCTAGAAATTTCCATGGAAGAACGTTCTAGAACTATCGACATCTAGTCAGTCGGAACCGGTATGTACCCGAACATTCTAGTTGTTTCTATAGTAGAAGGTTCTGGAACTATCTGAGGCTCAGTATCGAACCGGCGAACTAAGCGACCCGGGTCAGTATCGAATTAGCGATCAAACGAATACTTCGAATCGATACATCTGCGAACAAAAGTGATCAGTAGTACAATTGTGTTTTGTTAGTAGTGTGGTTTTAAGTTATAATTAGTATTCTGTAATTAAAGTGTCAATTTTGGTAATTAAACCCTCTTAGAAATGAGGGGAAGCCAGTGCCCAGCAGTGGGACGTATATAGGCTGTAATTTTACTTTTTTACCTTTTTTTGGTAATTCACTTGGCAGTTTTTTTTTGTCACGTACACCAAGCTCGTAACAGTATCAAAGATTACCTACCCGAACGAACTCTTGGGCAAAACATAGCATTTATCAAGGAGTACCAGTAAGAGTTGGAAAAATTTATCTCGGTTATTTTTAAGTATTAGTGAAACCGCAGGGTAAGCTTAAGAAAATGCCTAATTATGTAGTTATAAATGAGAAGCCTACAGTGGCAGGGTCCCATGCAGGTAGTGGACGTTTACTGGCTAATAAAGAAAAAAGAAATGATATAATCGATGGCACTGCTAACATAAAAGCACACACAATTTTTAAAAGACGCGACTATGAATAGATTGTTAAATAGTGAGAATGTTAAAAAGTTAAAGAAAAACTAAAAACAAACGAAACCTTAACAGAGAAAATGAGTGAAGGACAAAAATTACAAATTAAAACATTGTAAAAATATTACCATTACCATTACAGCCCATCAAAAGTTCACTGTTGAACAAAGGATTCCCCGAAAAATTGCCAGGGATATTTACCATAGTTGCCATGCTTGGCAGACGAGTTGGCAACTGCAGTAATTTTTTATTCAGTTGTTACAAGGAAGGCGCTGCTGCCCATCTCCTGGTTCATTTTCCCTTTTTGATATATCACCATATTATTGTAGGTGTACTTGAGAAGCACACCCACGGAATGATATGGGGTAGTGCATATTCCTATTTTATGTTAAGTTCGATTTATTCATAGTACGGGCAACAGCCGAAGAAATAATGAACCTAAATTTACCGGGATTTACTTGGAATTATCCATGGTTTTGGGTAGTTTTAATAATTTTTATATCACAGAAAATAGAAATTGCGGCACCTGCCGCACCCTAACTTACTAATGTCGCCGAAATTATTACCTTAGTTCTAGCCAGTAGGCTAATATTCGATGAAGGCTAGACCTGTAATAATATCTGATGAAGGTTAGACCCGGTTTTAACCAAAAAATGTCAGTTATAAAAAAAGGATAACATTAGCCGAATAATCTTAAGTTTATTACTTACGCTAACATTAACGGTAAGTCTATAGCCTATACTCCCAAAATAATATAACAGATATAGCCGATAGCCGTGTGGTCCTTCACCTCAATTATTTCCGTCAGTGTCGTGGGAGGGGATTTTAGAAAATGTCAAAAAGATCACATGACATTCGATAGATGGCGCTGTAACCAACTTGACCCAGCAATACCCAGAGACAAAGTAACGCGGAGCAGCGCAACAGGTGCGAGGCTTCTGGTGCTGCGATTGTCAACCCGCCTGCCAATAAATCTTCTCAACGACTGGAGAGGCCTGTGTTAAATAGGGGACTTTTATCCATTGTTGTTGTTGTTGTTGTTGTTTTATGATGATGGTCATGGTGGTGATGATGATGATGTTGGTGATGATAATGATGATGTTGACACCTCCAAAAAACTCCCGTACGTTTTACGGTCACAAAAAAGAATAAACTTTTAAATAACATTAAAAAACTATTGAAAAATATATTTATATCGCCTAATAAGACTCGCAGATTATTTCTATAGTGGATCACACACGACTACAACGTACATTAAACGAATATTGGCAAGAGTTTATATCGTCATTAATTTGTACTTTTTCAAAGTTATTATTATATTTAAGTAGTCTCTTTTTTAAATATCTTTAACAATATGTTTTGCCTCAGCGTGTTAGTTATGATTATTTTATATCGATTTATAAATAGAGGAGTATTAAAACGAATTTAAGGTAGGTAACACATATTTACCGTGGTAAATCAGATCTCAATGTAAATGAATGTTCAAAGCAGGGTAAAGTTAAAATGAAATTAATAATATAATACAAATGACATAAAATACTTCATATATAGCTACACTGAAAATATGTGAAGCACTCTAGGTCAACAAATTTGTGCACACACACAAATACGTAAAGGGCCGACAATCGGCGCTAATATGCAGCGCGTCGCTTGTGTGCGTGTATCTTGCGTTAGAAACCCAAAGTTATAGGATATAGGCTGCTTCACACATTTTCAGCGTAGCATTACGCCCGTATTTTCTTTTGCATCCGTGACAAATACGCAATATGTAGCATTTTTCAACTTTAGCTGCCAACTATCCATGTAAACAGTACAGTTCAATGTCACAATCACAAAGATCGCCTATGTACTTATATCGTAACCTATACTTTATATGGAAGGACATTTAAAACTAAAGTTGGACGGTTATCTATATAAGGGCCGATCCTCATTTGCCGTTCACAGTTCGTTCTCGGTCCGATCTCGGTCTTATAATGGAATGGGATTCGACCGAAACTTGACTGTTAAGAATAGTATGAATGCACACACATATTTTTTACTTGATAATATTTTATCAGAACGAGATCGGACTGAGAACGAACTGTGAGCGGCATTATAATGATCAGCACTTATGGTTGTAGCTTGAATGGGTCGGCTCGACCGAGGAAGAACCACGCTCTCACAGAATACCAACGAAAAATAGCAGCTTAATGCTGCTGTGTTTCGTATGGTGAGTGAAGATACCCGAAGACCCGTTTTACTGGAATCAAAGCATTCCATCTGAGCCCTCAAGGGTCCCATCATCAATCATTCACCAACCCATCTGCATTTTAATTCTTAATCGAAAATAAATGTAGATGTGTATGGGCCACAGCATCCACTTACAATAAGATGGACTGTGTGCTCATTTGTCACCCTTATCCTATAAAAAAGCTTCAAACTTTTTTTAATAATAAACTACGGAAAGAAATAGGAAGCATGATTAATTATCATTCAAGGTCAAATTAAGAAAATCTAATTTCTTTTAGATTTCTATAATATACTTTAAAAATATTAAATATTTTTCTCACTAAAAATAACTTTCTGTTGTACAATAACCTAAGAAAAATTACAAAAAAAGAAAACACAAAATAAAGTCTTAAATATTCAAATAAAATATCTCGTCGACTGTACCCACCGTACTGGCCGTTTTTAGAGAAATAAAAGTGACAAACGAAAGTCCATCTAATGGCAAGTGAATACTGTGTTTCATAGGCAGCAGTCCATCATCGAATAAGAATGAAAATTCAGATTCATTGTCCCCCCTAAGGATTAAGATGTAAAGCCTCTTTACAGCGAAATAGGTATTATCTGGATTTCTACACTCACCATACGAAGCACAACAGCAATATTTTACGTACGTAATCTGTGTGGACCTTCCGTCGTTGAACCGACCTATTCGTGTTGCAACCACACTATACATGCAACGCAGCTCTACCACGGTTAAAAAAAAACGAAAAACAACTTATTAACTGAATGTTGAAAATCATATTTTTGAATGAATATATTCAAAGCTAAAATATATTTAAATTAAACGATTTTGTGCGTTTGTGTGTTTATAGGTTTTTTTTTAATTTTTTTAAATGCCGCATCCCAATGTCATACTTTGCTTTGTACTGTTTTACACTACAAGGACCACTGAGAACTGAAACAAAAAAGAATGAAATTAAAAATTTACCAAACGAAAAGTAACTTAGGGTGAAAATTCTTATATTAAAAATAAATATATAATATAGTGGATGTCATCCAGTATATACATAATAATGCGCATTTAGTTATCATAATCACTCTACTGCTAGAAGCTGAAACAAGGATTTGTAGGGGTTATCCATAATCACCATTATTAGTGTGAATTATCTTTGCCATCAAGTCATCAACATCAAGTTAACTTCTAGATACTCAAAAGCATAAATAAATCCTACATTTATGACGAAATTAACATTTTATGGATCTATTTTAGAACATACTTTATCTGTTATTGCCAATGTCTGTTTAATAATTTCATACCATGTTTCATACCACTCGATACCACGCTTAGGTTTTTCTAAACAACAGAGAGATGTATATAGTCTGTAATTTTAACTTTAATATGCAAGTTTCCTCACGATGTTTTTGTCACCGCGGAGCACTTGCATTTCGAGTACTTAAAAATTTCCAGAGCTTCTCTAACGTGAAGCATCGGTGCTCCGAGAAGATATTGTAAGCCCGTTATGAGTACATCGGGCCAAAAATTTAAATAACAGAAGCTGAACGTAGCCCGGGTTAACTATGAAATCAGGACGTTATAGCAAACAAAACGTTCGAAATTTACAGCACGACAAATTAAACGCGATTAAATCCGTAAAATTATTTCTATTCAATATAAGAAATCAATAATTTTATTCCAAATTAAATACTACCTAGGTAGAAATATTGGTCAAATTAAATTTATTCAATAGAACTCTAAACCAAGTTTTTTTTTAAATATTATTTATAAACAAAATTTATGGAGCAAGGCTCCGATATTTATCACAAATTGTCTTTATTAAGCTAAATAACTTCTACATGGCTCAGTCAGAAGAAATATAAGATATGTAAAAAAAGGAACCAACTTTAAAGTTAAGTTATGAGTATTTAATGTAAATTAATTTGTGAATAATAAAATCTAGTATTGAGTATTGTGCGGAAATATATTTTACTAAAGGTGCGGATCTTAGCTTATTAATTTTCATGTTTGATTTCCACCACAACTGTACTTATTAGTGTGCGTCCACAGTTGCGCAGGCAGAAAGGAGGGCGCAAATCCTGCGCCCTCCTTTCTGCCTGCGCCTGCTTTCTCCAAGGAGGGTCGCGTTCGTATACGGCTTAGAGATCTCTCGTCAGATCGGTAAGCCAATCCATAAAGGCGGTGTTTAGTGGGTAAAAGTCTCCACATAACCACGCAGCCGGCTGCGTGGTATGCTATGAGCATTCACCGCCTCCCTCCCCCGCTTTCCGGAGGGTTGCCCATATTTGCTTCGGGCGCAAAAAAAACGACGGGCGCGAAGTATCAAACATAATATGAAACCGCCGTTTGTATCCATAGTGTAGTGACTAAGGAGGGCGCGCAGCGCGATTGACATGAGCGAGATAACGCGCGTAGTTCCTATCCGCGCGTTATGACCCCACTACGGGCCTAGTCAGCAAGCGACCCAATGCGCGGATGGTGGGGTTATCAAACCAGTTCGCTTCGATCTTGTCGCTCGGCGTAAGCGGTCTTCAACTTTTTCTGATGAATGATGATTTTAGATGCTGTTTTACTCAGGATATAATTAATTATTATAATTTATTGTAGACTTTACTCAAAAAAATTCAAATTCTATTCTTCTAATCTCAATTCTTCATACAAAGTAAAAAATTCACTATTTATTTCTCTGTTTTTATTTATTTCGTGCACACCCTCTCCCTTATGTTCAACATCTCCCATCTCTGGATCAGACTTTCTAGTAAAAATACTAAATAAATCGGAAATACGGCCTAAGCACTCCACAGCTTGCTCGTCATTGTGACCATTGTACGTCCCCACCGTCGCGCCCGCAACAGGCCCTAGACACCGCGGACGTAGTTCACTGTGGACGCACACTTAGGTGTCAATAATAGCCGATGAGGTAATGTTTTTGTTTCCTACCTTCTATAATAAAAAATGTACACAAGACAATGTGCAAATTTCATACAACTAACAAAATTGTATATATTTTTTAAGTATATAAAGCAAAAAGTCACCTGAGCGCCGTGGTCTTCCTGTACGGACGCGCGTTCCTGTACACGTGTCCGCCCTGCGAGACCAGCGTGCCTCGCGAGCTGGCGCAGCTGATGGCACTGCCGGGACTACTGGGACTCCTGGGACTTCTGGGACTACCGGGGCTGGGCGGGCCGGTCGCACAAGACTCCAACGAGCCACTGATACGCCCCGTAATCGGACCGCCCCTAAGAGTGGGGGTCGGGGTTCGATCACCTGCCCGACAAAATACACATACAATGCAAGTGGCTCGGCTCAATATATGTATCATGTTAGTACTAATGAACGCGTCCTCACGAAACGTTCATCGTCATATTTGGCGGGATCGATCTATTCACACAAATCGATTAGTCGAATTCAAACTCTGTATTAATACCAAGTACTTTTTTTTAATTCCACTTTTGGCTTATCCCAATTTATTGAAGAAATGTTTATGAACCCACCCCACAATGACCTAGAAATAAAGGTCACGATCGACTATTACAACTAATACATACTCAATGATATATGTTCAATGATAAATAACATTATTTACCGTCACCATCCACGCTGCCGATGGGCGTGTGCCTGGTAAGGTCGGGACTGCTGCCCCATGGACTAAGCGCACCCAAAGGACTGGAAAGTCCTGCCGTCACTAATGTATCGTCATCATCGCCAGAATCTGCCAAAAAATTTATATTTATTAGGACACCCGTCCATTTACCCATATATAACATAAGTGCGATTAAGAGCGTAGACGGGCTGCATTTTTTCCGTACAAATGTATTCCCCTATTCTCTTCCTGGATAATGCCTCTAGAGTAACCGTTTTTGTTTATAAAAATCTAGGTCTATTGAAAGCCCCTCATTTGTTTTTTTTTTTTCAAAAAATTATTACAAAAATAAATATGACTTTCCAAAAACCTAAAAAAATGCTCCGTTTTTACCTCCATAATGAGACGACTACCAAGGAAATTTAAAAGTTTTTAAGATAAAAACAGGAGCATAGATCTATTTTTCCTTTAAATTTTGATACCAAAAATAATTAAAACGGCTTAGTTTTCGAGGAGAAAACAGGGGAATACGAAACGTCGATTGATCATGGTTTTTGTAGGTAAAATCGTCTGAGCTGCAGTTGTCCCTTTCGCACTCTACGGGGGAGACCAGAGGTGAGGGAGGGTCAGACTTACACGTACACAATTAGGGAAGTGCCAACTGCCGAGGTTAGTTCTGAGATACGCACACAAATACAGACTATTCACTCACATAATTATTGATAGCTCGGTTGCTCGGGCGCAGCGCGACGGCAATAGTTCCTTCAAATACCTACTTCTCAATTCCCGCGCAGACCGAGTACGCTCTTAAGGCAACAACGAACTACGGCTTGAAATAAGGATAAGAAGAGTGTTGATAGAGTAGATAGCTATATACAGGTTAGTACAGCATGTACCACTATAAAGTTACTTATAGTATATTATGAAACAAAACAAAATCAACAATTAAACAACAATACAGCAAAAAGATTTCATTCATCATTATTGATATCAATGTCGAGCACAGTCTTTTTTAATTTTAAATGCAGAGGTTGTGTTGATATCCAGCACAGTAGAATATGACTCATATACATTGTAAAGACGAGATATTGAGTAAAGTGACATAGAGCCTTTACGCACTGTCGACTGGTTGCCAGCAACTCAGTCTCTCGGCAACCAACATCGGCCAGGAGACCAAGCCAAGCAAAAGTATTCCAAGTACATTCGGGGAGTCTTAAGAATTTAATCTATAGAAAGTCACTATCGCTGTCGACCGAGACGCCGGCGACCAGTCGACATTGCGTAAAAAGCCATAAGGTTTGTGCTGCAGTGACTTGTATGGAATAATGTAAGCTTAGTCGAAGTAATCGCCTAGTGGAGGAAATCTTTTTAGGATCTTAAATGAAATTTTGCGTAGGAAGTCAGGATAGTTTAAGTTTCCTATAATGAATTAGTGCAAGAAAATATACGTATTTCTTATATACGTAAAACAAACCTTAGCGGAGGATTACCTTTCTGAGACAGTTCTCATACCTAAGTCGATAACCTGTAGAACACCGACAGCCTTATGCTTGGTCTGCTTGGAAACACCTGCAGATTTCCATGGTCTACAGTTGCCACTTATTAGGAGAACTGTTAGCGCCATGTTCGTATGTGGTAGAGCCACGCTGCAGCTATATTATAGTTGTAGCACGAATGGGTCGGCTCGACCGGGGCAGGACCACGCTTTTACAGCATACCAGCGTAAAATAGCAGCGTAACGCTGCTGTTTTTCATATGGTAAAGAGACTCTTTTTACTGGTAACGACATTCCATTTTAGTCCTCAGGTGTGATAACGCATTAGCACTTTGATTCCCAATTGAGGATAAATGTGGATGTCTACGGGCCACAGCATCCACCTACCGTCAGGTGGACTGTGTTCCCGTTTGTCACCCAATGCTATAAAAAACTGTAACTTGAATAATATAAAAATAAACATGTATAGGAGAAAATAAATTAATCATACCTTCGTAAACGTCAAAGAAGTTCTCTTTTGAGTCATTTTGCGATGATTTTTTCTTTCTTTTGCTCTGAAACGTAATATTAATATTAGCTAAAACATACACTTAAATTCATCTAAACCCTGGATGATATTACAGTAGGTAAAATCCCGTGTACAAAATATAATTTGTTTAGATTTGCTTACAAAACTCAAGAGTAAGAAAATACTAAAATTTTTCCATAAGAATAACATTTAATAACTTTAGGTTCTACAACACCTTTGTCATTTCCTCCGCTACGGACATCTCCAGCGCATGATGTGTGCGTGCGAGTGCAGTTAATGCTTCTTCAAGGACTCTGTTTCGCTCTATCTGTGTATGATTAAATAAGATTTTTATCCAAAACACTTTAAATTTCATTAGAATAAGAACAAAAACTTCATTTCCAGATCCACCTAATGGTAAGAAAATGATGTAGCAGACATCTATATTTATCCTCAATTAAGAATAAAAACGCAGATGCGTTATCACTTATCACCCACGAAATACAGAAGCATTAAGCTGCCATTTTAGCTGGTATTCTACTACAGCTTAGTCCTAACCCGCTCCAGCCGACCCATTCGTATACACCCATAATATGCCTGCATTGATTTAAATAAATAATTATATATTATCTATACATTAGTTATATATTTAACTTCCCAGTGGGAAGTTATAGTAATCAGTCCTATTGCCCAAAGTCAAACTTTTGACATGCATCCACGTTTCTAGATATGAACAAGGGACGGAGGATATATGTACGTGGCTAATTTTCTCCTCGCATCGAAAAATAATAATGATATCAACGCCGAATGGAATCAATTGATACATGTAATAAGTAACTTAAACCATCATTTTTTTCTTTACATCATTTCAATCTTATATCGTTACGTACACTACAGTAGTGTTGCGATAATTCAAATTCATGCTTATACGAATCGGTATCGGTAATCGGTAAAAATATATTTAAATAATCGAACATTTACACATTGTAAATCATCTTATTCTGATGATGATTATTCATTTAATGATTAACCTTTTTAATTTTTCTGAAATAGAAATAATGACGCTTAAGTTGACGTTAATTTATTGTTTGATCATATAAATACAAAAACAGACTCCGAGTGGTTTTCTTTAAGGTGGAGAAATGAAACTACTGTTTATGAATGTACTGTCGAATGGGATTCGGAATGGAATATATTTTGCATCAACCTTGCCTATATTTATATGGCTGGCTCACTATTGATTTGCCAATGGTAACAATTAATATTTTGCCTAGCCAATTATATTGCTTATTTTATGACCAATGAAAACTATTTAAAATATACAATTATCTACGTTTCGTTTCCCGGCGTGAGACTTGTTTGTTGTTCACGAAGCTACGTCGCTGGACCGGACTATATAAGACATGCAGATCGGTGCGCACGCGTAGTCGGCGGGCGGCGGCGGTGTGGAATACAGCTCCGGAACAGCAAGAGGAAACGAACTGCGGCGTTGAAGAAACGGCTCACCATTGGTCGACGGATACGTGACGATAGCGGCGTGTGAAGTCGGTGTGGCGCTGAATGATATTTGCGGCTGCTTCTTGTTTCTTTATAAGAACGTCAAATTATCTATATACAGTCCGCAGTATCTCAGTAGCCAAGAATAATTAGGAAATAAAATGTTTTTTTATTTATTCTCGCCTTCCGCGTTATGGTAGCAGCGGAATATATATTATTTATTCCCGTTTAGGTTTGATTAATCTGGCTGCTACATCACTCTCCCCCCAGCGAAAGCGTACCGGAGGCTTGACGACTCGCCCGTATTTCGTAGTTTTTAAAATAGGTTTCAACTGGGTTGATGTAGATGATGAAGTTTCAAGCTTCCTCGCTGGTGGTTTTGATGATGATGATGAATCCTCTGCAGTATCCTCGTTAATAATATAGGCAGGCTTTAGTCGGTCGATCGATATAATCGTAGATTTCCTTCCGGGTATTTGTTGTTTAAAAGTCTTGCTATTTCTCTCTAATACTTTATACGGTCCATCGTAGGTAGGTTGAAATTGTTTTTTCATTGCGTCGTTTCTTACAAAAACTTGTTTGCATGTTTTCAAATCTTGGTGAATGAATACTGATTTATTATTTCTGTGTGATTGCATTTCGGTGCATTTCAACGATAAGGCTTTGTTAATTGATTCTCGAAGTTTAGTTACGAAATCGTAATCCATTTCTTGTTTGTTTGACGCTGCTGAACTGAAGAAGTCACACGGCAGCCTTATGCTGCAGCCGTAGGTTAGCTGAGCGGCGCTAAGACTAGTGTCTGCACGCGGTGTTGCTCGTAGTCCGAGTAGCACTGTAGGTAGCTCATCAATCCACTTTGTATGTTGAGATAAACGAGTTTTGAGTGCAGTCTTTAATGTACGATGCCATCGTTCGATTATTCCGTTTGACTGAGGATGGTATGCTGTTGTACGCGTCTTCTGTATTCCCATAGTTTGAAGAAGTTTGAGGAATAGGTTGCTTTCGAAATTCCTTCCTTGATCCGTTGTGATGGTTTTAGGTGATCCGAAACGAGTAATCCAATTTTCATAAATTATCTTCGCGACGGATTCGGCTGAAGTATCATCGGTAGGTATTGCTTCTGGCCATCTTGTTGTTCTGTCGATCATTGTTACGAGATAACGATGTCCTTGCGGTGAAGTAGGTAATGGTCCAACGATGTCAACGTGCAAGTGTTCGAATCTCTCCGTGGGTGGAAATGTAGCTAGACTACTTGATGTATGCCTTTGTACTTTGCATTTTTGGCATTGAATGCATTGCTTCGCCCAGTTGCCAACATCCGCTTGCATTGCAGGCCAAAAGAATTTTTTCAGTGATGAGTTTTCTTGTTGTTCTAACACCTGGATGACTAATGTTGTGCAGTGCATTGAAGACTTCGCGACGACATTCTTCTGGTATGTATGGTCGCATGGTTGTCGTTGAGGCTTCACAGTATATAGGTAGATGCGTCATTGGCATTGTAACTTGCTTGATGGACAAGTTACCTTGCTTCGCTAGATGTTTTATGTTGTCACTATCTCTGTCTTGTGCTGCGGCGATCTTATGATAGTCGATTGATGTAGGGCACGTTACACTGTCGATTGGTACGCGACTGAGTGCGTCGGCAACTATGTTGTCCTTTCCACTGATGTGACGTATGTCGGTCGTGAATTCACTTATGAAAATAAGTTGTCTTGCTCTTCGTGGTGTTTCCGATAGTGATGGTTTCTTTGGAAGTACATATGTTAATGGCTTGTGGTCGGTAAAAACGATCAGGTTTCGACCCTCGAACGTTTTTCTGAAGTGCTTGATAGCCATGTAAATAGCGAGTAGCTCTCGGTCGAATGTACTGTAGTTACGTTGAGTATCGGAGAACTTCTTCGAAAAATATCCAAGTGGTTGCCATTTCCCATTGCTGTATTGTTGGAGAACTGCTCCTGCTGAGAGATCGGATGCGTCGCTGAAGATAGCAAGGGTTGCTTCGTGTGATGGGTGAGCGAGTAAAGCTGCATTTTGGATCGCAATTTTACAAGCTTCAAATGCCTTCGTGGCTTCATCGTTCCATTCGATTGACGTTTTATCTTTTTTCTTCGTGTTGTGAAGGTAGGCGTGAAGTGGTGCTTGGATTTCAGCGGCTTTAGGTATGTGTTCTCTGTAAAAATTTATCATCCCAAGAAAACGCCTTAGCTCTTCGATAGTTTTAGGTTTTGCATAATCGATGATTGCTCTGACTTTTTCGGCAGGCGGTTTTATTCCTTCCTTGCTGACGGTGAAACCAAGAAATTGAACTTCTTGCTGTCCAAATATGCATTTCGAAGGGTTGATTGTGATTCCGTTGTCTTCTAATCGCTGTAGCACGGTGCGTAGATGGGTTTCGTGCGTTTCTTTATCAGGGCTTGCAACAAGGAGATCATCAATAAATGCGAAAACGAAATCCAGTCCATGAAGTACTTCGTGTATGAATCTTTGGAAAGTTTGACCTCCGTTCTTTAATCCTGGGATCATTCTTGGGAATTCGAATAATCCCATTGGGGTAATTATTGCTGTCTTCTCTATGTCTTCATCGCGGACTCTTATTTGTTGGTAAGCTCGGTTGAGATCGATGGTGGAGAATATAGTCTTGTCTGATAGTTGATGAGTGAAATCCCTGACTCGCGGTATTGGGTATCGGTCAGGAGTGGTAATAGAATTCAGTCTTCTGTAATCTCCACAAACTCGTAATTCTCCGTTCTTCTTCGGTACAATGTGAAGTGGTGATGACCAAGGGCTTTTGCTTGGACGGCATATTCCTTGCTCAATCATGTTTTCGAATTCCTTTCGAACTTGCTCGTATAGGTGTGGTGCGATTGGACGTGCACGACAATGAAGTGGTGGTCCATTGGTGTCGATGAAATGCTCAACGTCGTTCTTCGGTGTTAATTTCATTGAAGTTATTCTTGTGATACCAGGGTATTCTTCGAGGATCTTGTGATACGGTTGTTGCACATCTATGCTTCTTATTGTGGGCAGATTGGTTGCTTGTACAAAAGACTGAGATGCAAGATTGGTTTTCCCGTCGATGATTCTTCTATTTTTGATGTCGACGACCAACTGGTGATGTTGAAGAAAATCAGCACCGATGATTGGTTTGCTGACTTTAGCGACGATAAATCTCCATTTGAATGGTCGGCGTAGATTAAAATCAAGTTCCATTGTTTTTTCTCCATATGTAGGAATAACCGTATTGTTTGCTGCATAGAGTTGAAAATCTAGTGGCTTCAACTTCTGTCCTTGCTTCGGCGGTAACACTGAGATATTTGCTCCGGTGTCGATAAGGAAAGTAAGCTTGCTTTTTTTTATCGGTGACGAAAAGACGGTAGGACTTTGCTGTTACGCTGGATCCCGTCGCATCGAGCGTACTAGTTAGTTTTCCGTATTCGTATTTTCATTTTTGAACGTACACGGTGCTGTGCATTTTCTTGCCTCGACCCCGAAACGTCGATGATAGTAGCAGTAAGGGGATCTTGATGTTGAGCTTATTCGACTTCTACTTGCAGAGCGGTTGCGACGAAAAGGTGATCTTCGGTGTTGCTGATTGCGCTGGTTGTACTGTTGCTGGTAAAAGGTATGATGCTGGGAAGCTTTGAGCGCGGCGACTTCGAATGATAGCTTCCGAATTTCTTCGAGAAGAAACTGGGTATCATTGGCCTTTGTTGAAGTGCCTTCGATGATCGATATGTGTGAGCTACTGCTGTTTTCGATCATCTTGTCCGCCAGGAGTGCCAGTTCGTCGAGCTTCGTCTGCGTGCTGAATGTTTCGCTGACTGCTATTAC